AAAAAAAAAAAAAAAAAAAAAAACATGTTTGCTGGTGATAAACAACCATACTGACGCTCCCCACAGCAGAAGGGGCTGTGTTGTTGTTGTTTTTTTAATTTTTTTTAAGGGTTTTTTTTTTTTTTTTTTTTTTTTTTCCCCATCCAAGAACAACAGAAACTCAGATCTGTTGGTGCTCCTTAGAAGGCGTTGAACTTGCTGCGAATCATATGTGAGTGAAGCTGACAGATAGCTTCCTCCACCGAGCCCCCCTCCACTTGTGCTGAAATGTGCAGAGAGGTGAGGATGTCTCTTCTTGTGTCTAACTAGATTTCAAAACCACCACTTAATGTGAAGCAAACTCCAGTGAGGTGAGGATGCCTCTTCTTGTTTATAACTGGACTTCAACCACCAGTTTGAGCGGTAAAAGGCTACTAAAAGAGAGCTGTTCGAATCCGGCCTGGGCTGGTATTGAATACCTCAGGCCACTCAAGCCACTGTGAAAAGGCCCAGTTGGACTGCTGAGAGCCTTGGGAGGTGGCATTGTAGCCTAGGCAACTTTTTTCTTTTGTGTGTGTGTGTACACTGTGTAGCCTAGAGAACGTGTGCAGGGGCCATGCTAATCTTATCTGTATTGTTCCAATCTTAACGTGTCATCCTTGTGCAGGGGCCATGCTAATCTTATCTGTATTGTTCCAATCTTAACGGATGTTGTGAAGGACTAGCCTAGACAATTTTTTTCTTTTTTTCTTTTTTTTTAATAATCCATATTCATTGCCTAATGAAAACGAGGCCGCGGACCTCACAACTCAACCAGGGGTTATCTGACAGCATCAGCCAGCTTAGCTTACAGGCACTTTGCCTGGCAGAATTCACCCTGACTTAGCTTACAGGCACTTTGCCTGGCAGTTGTCACCCTGACTAACCTGTTTCAAAAGTAGAATTCAATTCAATACCCAACTGCAGCTGGGATGGACCGGGCCCTGTGGGTCTGGGTCGTAAAACCTACTGTCACTCACCTACCTAGCCCACCACGGCCCTACTAACCGAGTGACCTGGTTACACAGGAGGCGCTCTGAGTAACTACTATGCCTCTAGAACCGAGTGCCCTGGTACCTGAGAGGCGCCGTAAGTGACCTGAGAGGCACCCTAACTGATCACTAATAAAGAGGTGTTTGTGCCATCGAGCTGTGTCTTGAAGAGCCCCCGGACTGGGAAGACTGCGACTTTGAGGACCATTGGTCTAATAAAGAGTCAATCAAGAAGGTGGAGTGAAGATTGATCTCTTCCGGCAGATTCTGATTGAGTTCTCACAGCAGAAGCGCAGAAATGCCTGTTGTTACTGAGATGGTTTCTAACTCTTTCCTATTCCTCTCCCTTACCCCATCGCGTAGGAACCAGCATACGGCGTTTGCGGACAGGGCAACTGCTGGTGGAGGATCAATTCTTGCATCAAGAATCGGACAATGAAATTTGAAAACACTTTCCTCAATCAGGACTATAACATTAATCATGAGCACCTTACGGACTATCCTGATCGGGAAAGTGTCCCCATACAAAGCCTTTGTGCGAGTAATGATCTGCTTTGGGGTTGGCGATCTATCACTGTCCGCCGTGGGGGACCAGCGGAGGAAGATAGCACCTGCACTGGTAATCGAACACATTGGGACTACTTTTCTTATTAACCTATCACGCTGATCACTCCTAATGGTCCCGACCGTTGTGCCCTTGTCTTGTCTGTATGCTGGAGCCTTTCTACCTTCCCTTGTACCAGATGAGCTGCCTGTCCAAGATTTGGATCCCTCTGCCTGCAATGCTCCCCCCGGGGAGTCTGGCAACTCGTCCCCTACCAATTTGCTCCCCATATGTACTTTCGACGTTGATGACACTGGCGTAGATGGGGATTGTCTTCCCTTAGAAACTCTCTCCTGTCAAGAGTGATCTCCCTGATCCTAGTAGTCTTGCGCATCATGGAGGTGGCCGTTGCGATCATACATCGCCCCTTGCAAAAAATCCTGTCTCTGTTCCAAGCGGAGCCTCAAATGTCCATGTCTCTGAGAGGAGGGATCCCCTCTGGATGGCGCACTTGAGAGTGTTTGTGTGGCACCTTCTCTCCCTTGACTAAACTGGGGAGGATGTAGTCCATGTCATGTGAGAGATAAGGAGGCAGCGGAGGGAGACCATATCTCGGCGGGGGGGCATACGGATTCCTTGTGTCTTGGGCAAAGAGACTGGGGTTGGGCTGTAGTGAAGGGTGATAATTATACTTGTATAGTCCTTGATAGAGCACAGGAGCTGCGTGCCATTGAGGGGGGGGGCAGAGAGGCTGGAGTAGTAGCTGGCCACACATCTGGGTTGGACCAACCCGGCATCAAGGAGTGACCGGGGTGAGGTGGAGGGTGGGGGTGGGCCACTTGGGGGGTTGAGAGGAGCGGGAGAGAAAGTGGGATACGCTTGAGTTTGCGGGTGTTGGGCGGGTACACTCTGGTCCAGCATCTGCGTGGCGTGAACGAGATTCCAATCTGGCTGAGCCGACGTGGTTAACCCCTGTGCTGGGCGAGCTGTCTCCCGAGTCCCAATGACACCTGGGGCTCGAGATGCCTGAGAAGTTTGTGGATTAGTAATTGGACTCGCTGCTGCAACTGCTGAGCGAGCTGCCCGTGCAGGGTTCGACGAAGATGGGGGGCGTTGCTGAGCTTGATTGGAGGAATCCCACTGTCTTCTCGGACCTCTGTCGAAGCCCTGCCAAGGACAATTCTCCTCGGTGTGAAAATACCAGCGGCACTTTCTGCACCAATCAGAGTAGGCGTGGCCACTTCCACCTTCCACCATTTGCCCTTCAGAGATTCGATGTTCAAGGTGCCTTCTACTCTGAAGCGGGCCCGAGGGTCCATGTCCATCTTTACATTCATTAAATTTAGGCCTTGATCTGTCTGCTTCAGGAGCATGCATCTGCTTTAGGCCCCCAATCAGTCCTTCCACAGCACTCGGTAAGTAGTACATGGCGTCCAGCGGTCCTCTGAGGGCTACAATCCAAAAATTTGTTTCAGCTTCTCGAAGGCGGAGTTCCTTCAGCTCAGGCTTGGTCATCCATGGCTCAAATGCCACTGGATAATGCTTGCCTGCCACGTTCAGCATGGATGAGCGCTTCTGCACAAGCCATGTGGCCACCTCACTAGCCTTCGCCACGTAAGAAATGACATTCGGGCCTTCAAACTTAATGCGCCCTCTCCTCACATCCGCATTGAACAACCGCCTCACGAGCCAGCCGTCTTTGAAGGAGCGAGTCAGATTTCCTCGCTTCGTCTTGGAAAATGAAGATTACCGTTCTCTCTTTTAACCATTTTTCTGTAATGGTGTCTAATGATTCGTTCATTCGGAATCTCCTCCCCCTCTCATCCTCAATCACTTCTCCCATGTTAGGTTCCACAGAAAACACGCCCTCGTCATAACACTGTCCAATGGAATGTCTAGTCCTGTCCTCCATAACCCAGAAGTTGGCCAGTGGTGGAGACACTCTCCTTCCTCCATTCCCTACTCCATCCTCTACCTCTGCCATGGCAGTCTTAAAACTTCACCAAGCCAAGCCAAGCCTCTGTGAACACAGTCCTGAGTCTCCTGACACACCTGGCGGATGATTCAGAAGACAGTACTCTCGATTGAATAACACTTGATATGATTAAACGACCTCCTAGTACGGGTGGGGCTACTTCACAGGCATAGGCATATCCGGCAAGAGGCACTCACGATGCGTGAGTGAAACCATGCCCTCGCATGTGATGCGTTTTCTAATTTTTAAACGGAAGAACAAGTATGTAAATCCCGTGAAAAAGATATGAAAATGGTGCTGCCTGACATTGCTGGAGGGGTGGTGGGTGGTACACGCGCTGTGCACACGCCGTTGATGGGTTGCTATTATGTCTTGCCGTGGTGATGCCTCCAGTGAATGAACTGCGTGTGATCATATTTCCTGTGAGGCGGACGGCAGAGAGGGGCCTTTCATGTACCTGGGCCATTACACTGACCACGATCATTTTTTTCCAAAATCACGAACTTAGCACAGAATGCCAAATGCAAACAGACTGAGTGGGAGCGGCCCTTCAGAAGGCCTTCCGTCAGACATGGGGGCACCCGCTGCTAGGGGCCATGGAAACATAACTAAACGGACTACAGAATGTTGCATGAAGTTGCACCCCCTGCACCCCCACCCCCTCGCCCGCCCTTTTTCAAATTGATAAAATTGCAAGTTCGCGCCATTGAAAAGAGAAGTAAACAGGTTTGCAATTGTTTTTCCTCGCTTCCTATGAGGCCTACCTCGTAATGCATATAGAAGAAAATATTTGGAGCGGTCGGGATTGGAGAACGTCGACGGACCTCCTGTCTCAGAGTCCGCCACACGTAATCCAAATTGCGACTCCTGCGAGGTAAAATGATGGAATGCCTCGGTAATTATCGCCGTATCTGGGCTGAAAGTTGTGCCAAATACCTCATCCTACCCCGGTAATTATCGGCGTATCTGGGCTGAAAGTTGTGCCAAATACCTCATCCTATAATGACTGGGCGTTATATGTGGGTGAAGACGGTAGTGGGTCCAAGCCCCTGACCGCATCCTGCAGTTGTGCTTTTCCTTGGGGGAAGGGCCCAAACTTGTTGAAAATGATTTCCTGATCTTGTCCTCCAGTTGTGCTGAACTTTTTTGTCGGCCTACAAGAGAAAGCAAAAGAGGGGCCTACAAGAATGTGCAGCGAGGTGAGGATGCCCCTCTTTTGCTTTAGTCGGCCCTGAACTTTTTTTGTCGGAAATTATCTTTGTTGCACATATTCAAGTTGCAAGTTGCAACCCATTATGGGGGACTGTTCAAATTATGATGTACCAACTTTTAGTAGGGCCGTCAGTAACCAGCAGGTAACTACCGTCTTCACCCGAATAGAACGCCCGGTCATTATAGCCGTATTTGGTGTAATTTTCAGTCCAGATACGGCTATAATGACCGGGCGTTTTATTCGGGTGAAGACGGTAGTGTGGACTCTTTGAGAGTTAGCAAAAAAAAAAGAGACCGTAAAGTTCGGCGTAAACCTTGCCAGCCCTTGACAGATGAAAGAAACTCCTCATATAAGAGATGTACTTTGACTTCATACGGGTGCCGCATGAGATGGTGGGTTCAGTAATCCGTTGAAGATGTAACTAGACAAGCTGCAAAAAAGAACATAGGGCGAGCAGCCGTACTTCCGGACTTCTGGAAGTGTACACTTGTGATAAATCTAAGCCGTGCCCCAAGTCCCACAAGTAATGTTGAAGTCCGGTACTCATATGATAGCATAGTGTTAAGAAAGCTAAATTGAACAAACTGAAGATTTGCACTCGCAAAAAACTGCCAGTTGATATACCGGAGGAAGGTGGGGATGACGTCAAGTCTGCATGGCCCTTACAGGCTGGGCTACACACGTGCGACGATCGCAATTATGACAAGAGAAACTGGAAGGCTGTAAGGAGAGACCGTTGGACTTGTCTGAGGAGTGTTTTCTAAAAGCAGCTCGTGTCCCGGGTGTGCAACGTGGGTGGGCGAGTGCGTGGTTTTGTGAATTGCTCCTGCTTGTGGTTTGGCAGGGTGTGCAGCTTTCGAACTACATGGGGCGCTTCTTTGTGGATGAGTGCAGATGCAATTGGAATCGTTTTGAGAACGAGGACGCAGAAAACGAGGTTCTTCTCTACAACTGGCAACCCCTCCCGACTCAAATCATGTACGGGGCGACTGAGGGGATTTTCACCCAAGTGTACTTCTTTGGTAATCGAGACGAACGGTGCCAGAAGGATCTTTACTCTGCATTTGTGATCGATTGTGAACGCTTGGAGACAGACCGCGAGGAGCGCACAGAGGTTGGCACCTCTCCCTCGCAAAAGATACTGAGAAATGGTCCAACTCCTGCTTTCCTTGGAAATGATGCTCGGGGGCGTGCTCCACTGAACTCGGTTCAATGACTGCTGATGCAGGTGTAGAGAGACTCAGCGCAGAGTCAGCAGGAGGCTGAACTAGCTGAAATGATAATATGATGCTGAGACTTCATCACGGGTCCAGTACATATTCCGGCCCGATAAGACAGGGTTTTTAACGTGTCGACTTGTTCTGGGTCATTACACTAATTGCTGATCAGCACCCCTCGCATTCAGTCGGGTTGTTAAGAAAAAAAAAAAGAAGTGAAAGGGTCAGGACAGAAGTGTCGGGCCGGGCCGGGCATGAACTCATCCATCACAAGTCTTTAGCTGCAGGTGAAATCAATCTTGTGAGGTTGTCGATCACAGTTACGTCGCAAGTGGAATCAAGGCCCAATGCCCATTGCAGTAGGATTTATCTCCACAGGTGATTGGCAGTGCACGGAAATGGGGTTAGGCATTACATCTGGAGAACTATGGAAATGGGGTTTTAGGCATTACAGCTGGACAGGTCTCTGGGCAATAGGATTCTCTATGCTCAGGCATTAGAGCTATACAGGTGCTGCGGTACCGCAGAGAAAACCAAACAAATTATACAAAGGAGCGTTAGCTGTAGTTTCAGAATCTGTTCGATTTCAGATACGTGATCGTAGGCACCAGTCGTTCTCTTTCTTTTTTAAAAGAACCAAAGATAGGCTTGCCATAAATATAAAAATAAAACGTAACAGTTTTCTGGGCAATAGAATTCTCTATACTGTCGAGGCGGGCTTGCGAGCGCTGACAATTGACATCAGGGAGACAGAGGTGGTGAAGTTAGATCCATACATCTGGAAGTTGTTTAGGCATTGTTTTTAATAGGATAATGATTAAAGTTCTTTAGGCAGTGTTTTTAATAGGATAATGATTACAGTGTTTTTAATAGGATTATGATGTATTACATATAAGGCACTCAGTTCATTTGGGTGGGATTTTCTCTTTTCAGGTGTCACTAACTGGAAGTAGACAGAATGGTGGTGTTAGGAGCATGCATCTGTTTACTCAGTTCTTTTTTTTTCCCTCCTTAAATTGGGATTTATTACTCTTGCACTGGCACCTGCCTCAAGGAGATCCCCCCATTTCATCGACGGTTGCCTGGGAGTGGGTTGCTATGCAGCAATGATATTCAATTTGGCCATTCCATCGACGGTTGCCTGGGAGTGGGTTGCTATGCAGCAATGATATTCAATGAGATCCCCCCATTTAAATTGGGCTTTATTACTCTTGCACTAGCATCGCCGGTTTCCCCCGTCGGGCAATTTGCCTGATCACCCCGCATCATTGTGATGAGGGGCTGATACAAGCCTTGCTCTCACACCACTGCTGTGGTAATCTACCTGGTGGGCCGGGGAGGGTTCCAGGTTTGGTTGGTGTTCCCCCATAGCGAGAGGATGAGATAGATGAGGAAAATATATACAAGGAAGATCGAGAGAATAAGATATAGATTAGTTGAACAAAAAAAAAAGAAAATTGAAAAAAAAAGGTAAAAAAAAGGGGTTGGTCTGCGTGTGCCCGGGGGGTGTCTGTGGCTGTTCTGATTGCCGCCAGTCAAACGCTGTTCTGGGTGATGGCGGACGAGTGGGATATGGTACGGTCATACCACGGCTATTGCGCCCGATCCCATCCGAACTCGGAAGCCAAGCGCCGTTGGGCCGGAATAGTACTGGGATGGGTGACCTCCTGGGAAGTCCCGGTGCTGTACCTACTAGCGAAGGCAGCACTTTTGGACTCCATCGGAACTCTTTTTTCATGCTTCAGTCCTCCCCCTCAGTGCCTCGGTGCTGTACCTATAAGCGGAGGCAGCATTTTTGGACTCAACCGGAACTCTTTTTTCATGCTTCAGTCCTCCCCCTCTGTGCCTCGACCCACTCAGTCGTTTAGACCGACGCAGCTATAATAGGTGCAGTAGCTCAACACCACCTCATCACAGCCCCCTCTGTGCCTCTACCCGCTCAGTCGTTTAGACCGATGTACCTATCATAGGTGCAGTAGCTCAACACCACCTCATCACAGCTCCTTCTGTGCCTCTACCCACTCAGTCGTTTAGGCCGACGTAGCTATAATAGGTGCAGTAGCTTAAACCACCAGTACACCTGCACCTAAAATCCTGAACCTACCTGCGCACTGCATGCCGCTACTTTCCGAGCCTTCTGCGTGAGGGTACCTGCAGTGGGAATTTTGGAAGTGGCACCGGTGCCGACAGTCCACCTGAAGGGAAAAAAAAGGGAAAAAAAAAAGAAAGGAACAAACAAGCCAGAGATTTTTTTTTTTTTTTTTTTTTTTTTTTTGAGATGAAGATGATTATGCTTTTTTGAGAACTGCACCAACTTCCTTAGATCTAAAGGATTGTGAATACTAAGCCAGAGATCAATGATGCCGTGGAGGGATGTCATGGAGGGCATACTAAAGTGATAACTTAGAATGCATCTGACCACTATTACGGAGAGAAGGAAATGTTGCTGTTTTTTCTTTTTTTTCTCCTTTTGTCTGTGTTAAATTCCGGGCTGCTCGGCGGCCCAGCCTCCGTCCGACAGGGGTCCCGGGCGGCCCGGCCGGTTGGGTCCCCCGGTTGTATGCCAGGCGGGCCCAGCGCATTTTTGCGCGCGGGGGGGGGGGAGGCCAGTTTCGACAGTTCTGGGCCTTGGGAGCCTCCGCCCCCCCCCCGCGCAAAATTGTTCCCGCGCGCGCTTCGAATTCGGAGCATCCCGTCGCTGCCGAGGTAGCCCGTCGCTGCCGAGGTTGTACTCCCGCCCCGCCCGTCGCTGCCCTCCCCGTCGACGGCCGTTGCTGCCCGCCATCGTCGAGGTGCCCTCGTCACTGCCGCCGCCGCTGCCTGTCGTCGCTGCCCGTTGGGCAGCTCGTCCTCGTTGCCCGTCGTCGTCGAATCGGTGCGGTTGCCTTGAGCCACGCGTCAGCTCTCTCTCTCTCTCTCTCTCTCTCTCTCTCTCTCTCTCTCTCTCTC